GCCATTTTATTACATTAACTCATTTACTGCTTATAAGAACATTATGAGACAGAGATTGCTATTCTCAGATTATGAATGAGGAAACTAACACTCTGGAAGTTAAGGCATTTGATGATGATTTTAACTACTGGATCTATTGCTTCTTGGTCTTGGGGCCTAAGAAAGATCTGTGAGGAAACTGGTCAGTGCTTGAATTTCACAATGAAGAAAACAGGGCCCACCAGAGGCAAGCAGCTTCTTTCTCAAGATCACAGCCTTTTCCCAGGAAAGTCACATACATTGTCACCCTAAGGGGGGCTATGTGATCAGATCAGGAGGAGATAAGCTTCTGGGTCCTGATGTTGTTCTGTCTTCTAAGAACTGGGAAAATACCCCCAAATCCTCTGTAGCAGCACGCCACAAGGATGGAGCAGCAGTTGGTGCCTCGGCCTTGGGAAAGTCTCCAGGGCGGGCCTTGTTTAGTCAGAAGCCGTGGCCATGGGCTCCATCCCTCTGCAGGCCCAGCTCACTGGCATGTGGAGGTGGACACAAACTGACCTGGTCTGAATTTTGGGTCTGCCACCTACTAGCTATGTGACTGAGCGACTTTAGAGCGACCTCTCTAAATTTCAGATTCTCATCTGTAGAACACGGATTTTATGAGGGTTGTTGTAAGGGCCAGACAGTAAATATGTAACAAATGGTAAATATTAATAAGAGAAAAATGAATGGCTTTGGCCAGTTTTGGAAATCCGTTGTAATTTTTGTTTCAACTTAACTATCTTACTGCTTCTCTAAAGTCAGCAATGATGCTGGAAATTCCTTCCAAGTACCCCTCCACAGCTTCGACAGGCACTTATTTGGCAAAGAAGACCTTTTAAAGACCTGATGTGATGGTTCACTGAAGACCCAGAAGCAAGAGCTCCTCCCTCTGTAGGATTAGAAACCTTCTCACTTGCAAAGACCTATTTGGTGTGTTCTAAGCATAGTAAGACCGTAATTACCATATTTAACAGTTTATGAAGCACAAGCCAATATTTTCCTTGCCTGTTCAATAATGTCTAGGTGTCAGCCTTTTAGTGGTATCTATCAGTCATGAAAATATACGTGAAATAACTTTTAAAATAGTAGTTCTCAAGCTTTAGCATGCTCAGAATCGAGAGGGAACCTTGGGAAAAATATAGATTTCTGGGTCCAGATCTCAGGCAGGCAAGGCCAGGAGGTCTGCACCATGTCAGCCCTCCAGCCTTGTTCTGGAGCCGACTGTCCTCAGAACACACCCTGAGAATGGCTGTCCCAAGGGCTTGCTTTCCGCTATTGTTTCTTGATGCTCTCCAGGAAAAGCCAACAATCGAAGGCCCTTCCTTCAGCAGCACCCCAGAGGAGCAATAGTGGCTCTTGTGACAGCAGAACTGTCAAGGGTACAGTTTCATTTGGTCCATCTGTGTTACATTCTATGAAAACACCAAGATTCATAAGTAAGCTTGAAATGGGGAAAAGACTGGACTGATTCCTCTCACCGGCTCTGATCACTGGGCTGTGACTGATTTTGCTCTGTCACCAGCGAAGAGAGTTGTTCTTGGTCATGAGAGAGAAGAAAGAAAAGGAAAAGAGGAGCGAGTAGAGGGAGTCGATAATAGATGGTTTGTACCCATCTAAAATGTGGGCTAGCAATAAAGCTTTCCCAAAAGCACTGAAGCTGAGTCCTCTCACCACACATCTAAAGGTTCATCTCAGGGTGTAAACAAGGCATGTCGGGTGGCTTAACCAGACACTCCTGGACTGTGAGTTTCATAGACTCATGGGTGGGCTGTGGGTCACTTTATTATCTGGCCCTTAATGAGATAATATCTGGGGCCGGACCCATGGCCAAGTGGTTAAGTTCACGCGCTTTGCTCCGGTGGCCCGGGGTTCTGCTGGTTCAGATCCTGGGCACGGACATGGCCCTGCTCATCGGGTCATGCTGAGGTGGCGTCCCACATAGCACAACCAGAGGCACTCACAACTAGAGTATACAACTGTGTACTGGGGGGCTTTGGGGAGAAGAAGAAGAAGAAAAGAAAAAAAACGAAGATTGGCAACAGATGTTGGCTCAGGTGCCAATAAAAAAAAAGAGAGATAATATCTGCCATCCAAAAACATTTGTGTTTAAGAAAGGAAAAACACTGTTATCCGGTGCCTTAAAATAAAATAAAATAAAGCCCTGCTTTTAAGCACAACGTATCAGTTGATTTTGAGTTTAAATATTGAGGAACACATTTTGTTAATGACTAAAACAATAGTGATTGATTTAGGGGCTCGGCGACCATTTAACCCACGCTGACTGCCCCCGATGGACATCATGTAACTATCTAACGGAGTTTTAATTTTGCGCTGTTATTATTAATAGTTCATGTCCTTTTGATTGCGCTGGAAGTTGGGGGCATCCTGTCAGTCATCCTTTCAGGGGGTGGCATTGCCCTGCCCTGTTTAACGAGAGGCTCTTAGAGGAAGTGGGCCCAGGAGTGACTTACAATGAAAGAAGATAAAATTCCATTTAAAAAATTAAATCATTTTCAAACTGAAAGGGGGCCTAACCCTTTCATTCTGCAGCTGAGAGCACCGGACGAAGGCCACAGGAGTGACAGGATGTGCCAGAGCCACACAGCTGCTTTCGTTGTCTGGTTCACTCTGGGGCTCAGAGCCCTCACGGGCCTGGTGGAAAGACCAAGACCGCAGGAGGCCTGGCCTGCCACAGTGGCTTCTCTAATCTCATGCGCGTCCCCCCTTGGTCGTCTGCCTGCCACACAGGAAGTAGTTCCTGTTTTCCAAATACTGAAGGTGTGTAAACGTAAAGTTTTTATAAACGAGCTACCCTCGACCACTATCTGTTTCGGTCAAGACCTAAATGCCTTGCTGAGGCAGTGAAGTGTAATGTCCGCCAGGGAAAGAGAGCCAGGACAGGAAGTGCTCCCTCCTCCAGCCGGCCCCTGGCTGCCCCGGCTCTGGCCTGTGACCCTCAGCCCATGGCAGCAGCCTTAGCTCTGGGCTCCAGAGCAGAGGATGGGATTGACATGGGGCTCTGGGCCAGTCCCTTTAACCTGGCCTCCTTCCCCTTCTGTGTTTGTAAAGCAGAGAGGAGCCGCTGTCTCCCTCGCTGCTCTGTCAGAGGCACTCTGAAACTGGCTCCTCTGTGGGAAGGCGTCAAAGCCACATATGCCACCTCCCTGCTAATAGGGTTACTAGCACTGGCTTGTAGACAAGGGCCAACTCCTTATCCCCCTTCTTACGTTAAAAACAGACCAAAGGGAGGCCAGCCCAGTGGCACGGTGGTTGAGGTCAAGTGAGTCACTTCTCCAGCGCCTCCGGGGTTTGCAGGTTCGGATCCTGGCGGACACACACTGCTCACTGGACCATGCTGTGGCAGTGTCCCATGTACAAGGCAGAGGAAGGCTGGTGCAGATGTTAGTTCAGGGCCAAGCTTCCCCACCAACAAAAAAAACAACCCAGAACAAAGGATAGCTTTTCTTGTCTTCCAGTGGCCCAAAAGTTGTTGCTTCTGTGGTTACCTCCTCAGAAGGTCAGTTTGCTGAGGTTGAGGATTCGGAGGTGCACCACAAACAAACAACAGCAAAAATCAACAAGAGCAACAACAGATGTGACTGCCCTGGCAGTTCTTAAGAGGGCTTCTGAGTTAGGAAGTCTTTTCTAACTGTAAAAATATGGCCCTAGCCTGTCTCCAAGCCACCTCTGTCCTGAAAAGGGTTAGGCCTGGGGGGCGGGAAATAGACTGTTTATTGAGGCCTTCTGATGGTCGTTGCCAAGGCTTTCCAAAAGCAGCATTAAATAAAATGTTTTGGGGGCTGCTGGTGTCCCAGCGGCTGGGTTCCTGTGCTCCACTTTGATGCCCAGTTCGCTGGTGCAACCCCAGGCGAGGACCAACCACCGCTCATCAAGCCCTGCTGTAGCAGGCGTCCCACGTATAAAGTAGAGGAAGATGGGTAGGGATGTTAGCTCAGGGCCAGTCTTCCTCAGCAAAAAGAGGAGGGTTGGTGGTGGATGTTAGCTCAGGGCTAATCTTCCTCAAAAAAAAAAAAAAGGTGTTTTGGAAGGGAAGTCACCTTTTAATAGCGGAAGAAGTACCTCTTTTGGACACATAGCTCTGCGCACAGCCTGTTTCACAACGTTTGGAAATCCTTTAACAGTTTATGGAAGGCCACCCTTTAAACCAATCCAACAGCTCCTTTCTCCATAACCTGATTTTAGAGGTGTTTCATTATCTCTAATTACTCGGAGTAAATGATGATTACTCAGTGTTTTAATCATCAGTTTGGGTAGCAGTTACTCTAAACTCAGGGAAGCCCAGACTCCCATGGGTACTTTTGGAAGATACGGGGACTAGTCGGTGCATGCTCTCTGGTACCTCTGCACGCGGTCCCCAGGTGAGCCCCGGCTGCCTCCCCAGCCGAAGGCAGCGGCGGCCCAGCCCCTGCGGCAGCTGCGGACTCCGGCGCTGCTGGGGCTTCCGGGACCCAGGCCTGCGAGGCGAGGCCCGGCGGCTGGATGGGAGGATGTGGGCGGGGCTCCCATCCCAGAAAGGGAGGCGAGCTAGGGAGGAGGGAAGAAAGGAGGGGCTGCTGGGGAAGAGGAGGAGGAAGGAAAGAAAGAAAGAGAGAGAGGGAAAGAGGAGGAAGGAGAAGATGCAAGAGGGCAGAGGAGGAGGGAGGGAGGGACGGAGAGCGGAGCCCGGTCCGGAAGCTAGGTGAGTTTGGCATCGGAGCCGAGGGACGGGGGCCTGAGACGCCGCCGCTGCTCCGAGCTGAGTATCTCGCTTCTTTCCCTGATGGGATTCGCGTCCGCGCCGTCTTGAGCCTGCAGCGCCCCAGTCCTCGGCCCTCGCCCAGGTTCACTGCAGCCGTGCAGAGGTCCCCGGGAGCAGCTGCTGGCGAGCCCGCTACTGCAGGGACCTATGGTGAGCAAGGCGAGGTGGCGAGGGGCGCCGGGCAGAGGGGTCCGTGGCGCATCCTCGGGTGGAGAAGCAGGGGTCTCAGGCTGTGGCTGTAGCACAAGGTGGCCTATTTTTTTTTTTTTTTCCAACGGTGGTGCTAGAGGTAGGGATGCTGGCGCTGAAAGGCACTTCCATATCTGCCACTGCCTGTACCCAGGCCACTTTCTCCGTCCGGCAGCCCGGGCGATATACCCCTTTGGTCGGTTCGGGGCAGGAGAGGAGAGAAGAGAAGCCTTTAGTTGGGGGTCCTTGGGGAAGACTGCGGGGTCCTGAGCCTTACACGCTGCTGGTGGACTGGCCTTTGCCATCCCGGGACAGGAAGGGCCGGGAGAGAAATGAGAGTGTTGGCTCTGAGGTCCGGAGAGCGAAAGGGAGCTGAGGGCGGCGAGGTGGAGAGAAAACCACTAACGCGGGCTGGTTCTGCGGTGGGGAGCGCAGGTCAGCTGCCTCCGGAGCGTGTGCGCCGCCGGAGGGGCTGCGTAGAGGGGGACGTCACCAGACCCGGTCCCCAGCCGGCAGGCGTCCCCGGGAGAGCTAGCGAACTGCCGCCGCACACACGCCTCTTCCACGAGCTATTTTCGTAGACTTGCAGCATCCAAGGAGCCTCTCCTCTATCATTTCACGCTGTGGGGTCTGTAGGGACGATGGCCATGGTGCCAGGCACTCCAGGGAGCGTTTTCCTGCAGTGTCGTGTCCTATGGGGAGTTGGTGGCGAGGAGCACGGCGGACGCGCGGCTCTTACTGGCCCTCCCGGCCCGGAGCCAACGGGACAGGGTCCTGGGATTCCCGGGTCGCTGCAGGCCCCTCCCCGTGGGAGCTGGGCCCGCGACCTCGCAGGTCTCTTGGGCACCGCTTAGGTGGGAGGTTGGTGAGAGTCGCGGTTTGTGGGCTGAAGATGTTGTGAGCCGTTAAAACCCCAAAAGACATAGACTTGGTAAACTGAGGCTACCTCTGAACAAATGTCGGCGTTGGGAGAAGACTCGGGCAGGGAAGTAAAGGACAGTCGCCACGAGTTGCATCCCCGTCCCCCAAGAAAAACTTCTGGAGATGAAAGTTCTTTTCAGCTTTTATCTTTTTTAACTTAAAAAAAAAATGGGGAGAAAAACGTGATTAGCGATGAATCCTTCCGAATCCGAAACTGAAATACACCCGGCTCTCCCCAGCTCCTGGGTTTCAGCGCGGCGCGCGCTCCCGCCGCCGTCCGGGGAGATTCCTGGGAGCAGAGGCTGGTCCCGGATCCCGGGCGCCCGCCCCTTCCACCGTCCCTTCGGCGCGGGGACCGACCCTTCTCCATCTGCTTTTCCCATTTCTGGAGCTCCATCCATGGGGCTTTTTTAGGGTTCCAGGCGTCTCAAAAAAACTCTGCTCTCCCCAACCCTTTCGCAGTCAGCCCCAGCGGTGGCGCGGGAGGGGGAAAACCTACAGCCGCTCCACAAGTGGCGCGGCTCGGGCCAGGCGCGGACGGTCGTGCAGGGACGCCCGCGGGCTCCCAGCCCGGCCGTGGAGTCGGGCGACGCCGGACAGTCGCGGCGGGAGGGCTGCGCGCTTGATTCTTTCCTCTTCCTCAAAGACGTCCCTCGAGTGCCCCCAAGAAGACAACCAAGTTTGTCGGGGGGAGTGAGGCGGGAGACCTGAGCTCTCAATCTCCGAAGAGACCCAAGGCGGGAACCGGGAACAGCCTCAGGAAAGGGAGGCGGGCGCAGTGGGCTTTCGAGCGGGAGTCGTGGGACTCGGGACCCCGGGGCGGGCCTGGGCTGACGCAGGGTCGCAGCGCAGGTTTTCGAAAAGGCCCTCGTGCTGAGCGACCCACGCGCGCAGCATCTTCGGTTAGAGTTAGGACATCCTAGTAATTCCTTGAGCTGTGGGCTGGCGAAATTCTTGAGGAAATATTTGCTGCGACTCTGCAGCTGGTGCAAAGGAGGAAGGGGGGGAAGGAAGTGGCGGGGGGAGGACTGGGAGGTTAAAAAATCAGAGAAGCTGGAGAGAGAGAGACGGAGACGCCGAGGTCCAGCGCAGGCCGAAAGCTGTTCACGGTTTTCTCGACCCCTGGGAACGTGGTGGGATTTCCTTTCTGCGCCGGGTCGGGAGTTGTAAAAGCTCGGGGACATTAAGACCCGAAACATGTGAAGCGCCCTCTCCGCGGCGACGCCTCCTTTCGAGCCGGCCGGAGCCGTGAGCGCCGGCGTCCGCCCCTCCGCCGCCAATGGCCCCGCCGGCCGCTCGCTTTGGGGATTTGCTTTACCCGGCGGGACGCGGCGCGGAGCTTCTCCCCGTAATGGAGTCGGAGAAAAGAGGCTGGCGGCCGCTCCCTCCTCACTTTCCCACACCGATCCCTGGCTGATCACCTCCCCGTCTGGCCCCGCGCGTGTCAGGGTCCCCAGCTCTTGGCTGGGAGCTGAAGCGGCTGCCTGGTGCATCTGAGCGTTCGCCAGGGGACTGGCTGTCGCTGGGAGCCCTGGCGGAGACCCGGGGGAGGAAGCGGCGGGGTGCGCGCGGCTGTGTCCCGCAGCGCTGTCCTTTTTAAGCGCCCCTCGGTGGGGAGGCTGTGAGCGGCCGAGGCTCCGCCGCCCCTCCCCGCGGCCCCGCTGGAGCGGGTTCACGCTGGAAGGCGCAGCCCCTCCAGCGCGCCCCACACGCTCCGGCCTCAGGCTGCTGGCTCGAGGGCCCGGCCGGACGCACCGAATGCCCAGGCAGAGGCGCGGGCCGCGTCCCCCGCGCGCGGCGCCCGGGGACCAGCCGAAGGCTCGGCCGAGCGCCGCCCCGAGCTGCTCGGGGCCGCGGGAGGCTCGGCGGCGGGCGCGGAGGCGGCCTCTCCGGGGGGCGGGGCGCGGGGGCAGGGCGCGCGGGCCCTTTCGCCGGCGGCCGCGGGGAGGGCGGCTCCTCCGTGCGCGGGGCGGGGCCTCTGCGTGCACGTGACCCGGAGGGGCTGGAAGAAAAACAGAGCCAGTCTGCGCCAGAGTCTCATTATATTCAAATATTCATTTTAGGAGCCATTCCGTAGTGCCATCCAGAGCAACGCACTGCCGCAGCTCCTCTGAGCCTTTCCAGCAAGTTTGTTCAAGATTGGCTGTCAAGAATCATGGACTGTTATTATATGCCTTGTTTTCTGTCAGTGAGTAGACATCTCTTCCTTGCCCCCTCCCGGGAATTCGCTCTGCCCTCTCCACCCCTGCTCGCCTTGTGTCCCTCCCATAGGACCTTCCTTCCAAAGTCCACACTCCGCTTTCTGGCAGCGCTGTCGCTTTCTTCTCGGCGGGGCAGCCTGGAGCTCTGAGCGTACCGGTTCTGTTTAAAGTGCTGCTTGCTCCCGCTCGCGCTCTCGGGTCGGGTGCCTTGCAAGAAAGGGGAGCGAGAGGGGGTAAAGAGATGAAAGGCCTGCAGCCCGGGGTTGTACCTTATGGGCTACGCACCCCCCGCCCTAAGTTGACTGGGGAGACCCCAGTGCCCCCGTGGCGCGTTCCCAGCTGCTTGTCAAAACTCACAGAGGTTGCTACCGGAAACATCCCCCCCTTCCTTGGGCGTGAGCGAGCGGGCGCCATCAGATGCTTTTTGCTGGGCATTTCAAACGCATCGGCCCGCAGTAAAATAAACTGTCAAGCCGCTCGGTCAGCTGCCATCCCATGTTCTCTGACTTGGCCTCTGGACCCGGCCGCCCAGTGCCTTCCCCCTGCCCTCCTTTCCCTCCCTCCTGCCCTGAACCAGCTGGAAGTTGTGGAAGTTGGGCTCGGAGGGCAGAGGAAGAAGGGGGTTGGGTGGAGGAAGAGGGGGAGAGGCTGAAGGTCTGAAGTGGAGAGCGATGGCATTTTAATTCCCCCTCCCCCACTTTTTTTTTTTTTTTTTTTTTACCCCCTCAATGTTAACTGTTTATCCTTGAAGAAGCCAAGCTGAGATCATGGCTCAGATAGCAGTTGGGACAAAAAAAGATTAACAGGATGGAGGCTATCTGATTTGGGGTTATTTGACTGTAAACAAGTTAGACCAAGTAATTACAGGGCAATTCCTACTTTCAGGCCGTGCATGGCTGCAGCTGGTGGCGGTGGGGGTGTGTGAGGGAGAAGGTACAAACGATCCTTCTGACCTGTTTTACATCTTGACCCCCCATCTCCGGCCCTGTATGCATATGCAGAGACATCTCTGTTTCTCTCTAGTTATTGGTGTTTATTTATTTTTTAACCTTCTACCTCCTCCCCCTCCCCAGAGACACCATGATTCCTGGTAACCGAATGCTGATGGTCGTTTTATTATGCCAAGTCCTGCTAGGAGGCGCGAGCCATGCTAGTTTGATACCTGAGACGGGGAAGAAAAAAGTCGCCGAGATTCAGGGCCACGCGGGGGGACGCCGCTCAGGGCAGAGCCATGAGCTCCTGCGGGACTTCGAGGCGACACTTCTGCAGATGTTCGGGCTGCGCCGCCGCCCGCAGCCTAGCAAGAACGCCGTCGTCCCTGATTACATGCGGGATCTCTACCGGCTGCAGTCTGGGGAGGAGGAGGAGGAAGAGCAGATCCACAGCGTCGGCCTGGAGTACCCCGAGCGCCCCGCCAGTCGGGCCAACACCGTGAGGAGTTTCCACCACGAAGGTCAGTCCCTGGCCCGAGTCTGGGCGGGGGAGGGCCAGCAGGGCCGGCTGTGGGGCGGTGGAAGCCCTGGGGGAGCGAGGTCAGGTTACATCAAAGCCGCACATCCAGGAGGCTGGGGAACCAGGCTGCCTACCTCCAAGAACTTCCAGAGCTGTGGCTGAATTTATTTTTTGGAGACGGAGGGGAGGGGTTCGGCGGAAGGGGAGTGACACCACTCAGACGTGGGCTAGCCCCAGCAGTGTGTTTTTGCTATATCAAAGCCTTTTCTGCCAGGTTTTCTGTCTGTTTTTTTCAAAGCACCTACTGAATTTAATATTACAGCTGTGTGTTTGTCAGGTCTATTCAATAGGGGCCTTGTAATCTGATCTGAATGTTTCCTAACGGATGTTTCTTTTCCAAAGTAAATCTGAGTTATTAATCCACCAGCATCATTACTGTGTTGGAATTTATTTTCCCCTCTGTAACATGATCAACAAGGCACGCTCTGTGTTTCCAAGATCGCTGGGGAAATGTCAGCAACACACTCACAAGTGGAAGACGAGGCAAGGGTGGCTGTGTGCGTGTTCCTCCTGCCTTTGCTCTGTTGGCCCTTCTCTTTCTTTACAACCACTTGTAAAGAAAACTGTACACAAAGCCAAGAGGGCTTTAAAGGGAGTCTGATGGTAGTGGAGTAAGGAGTTGACCACATGGAAATTATTAGACATACAAAGGAGACTGGGAGATGCTGTCTTTGGTGCCTGTGGAAGGCTAGCTGAGTCTCTCTGGTTAGCTAGCTGCCCCATGTATCTGCTCCTTCAAATTAAAGGTATGCTTATGTCCCCAGAAAAGCTTCTACCATATATAAGCAGAATTCACCACTTATCACCCAACTCTGAGCTAGTTCTTGACTTTTCAATCTCTCAAAAAAGTTCATGTGTTTTTTTTTTCTTTTCCTCCCCAACTGTGGCCAGAACATCTGGAGAGCATCCCAGGGACCAGCGAAAACTCTGCTTTTCGTTTCCTCTTTAACCTCAGCAGCATCCCCGAGAACGAGGTGATCTCGTCCGCGGAGCTTCGACTCTTCCGGGAGCAGGTGGACCAGGGCCCTGACTGGGAGCAGGGCTTTCATCGAATAAACGTTTATGAGGTTATGAAGCCCCCGGCAGAAGTGGTGCCTGGGCGGCTCATCACACGACTCCTGGACACGAGGCTGGTCCACCACAGTGTGACGCGGTGGGAAACCTTTGACGTGAGCCCTGCGGTCCTCCGCTGGACCCGGGAGAAGCAGCCAAACTACGGGCTGGCCATCGAGGTGACTCCCCTCCATCAGACACGGACCCACCAGGGCCAGCATGTCAGGATTAGCCGAGCGTTACCTCAAGGGAGTGGGGATTGGGCCCAGCTCCGGCCCCTCCTGGTCACCTTTGGCCATGATGGCCGGGGACATGCCTTGACCCGACGCCGGAGGGCCAAGCGTAGCCCCAAGCATCACCCACAGCGGGCCCGGAAGAAGACTAAGAACTGTCGGCGCCACTCGCTTTACGTGGACTTCAGCGACGTGGGCTGGAACGACTGGATTGTGGCCCCGCCGGGCTACCAGGCCTTCTACTGCCATGGGGACTGCCCCTTTCCACTAGCTGACCACCTCAACTCGACCAACCACGCCATTGTGCAGACCCTGGTCAACTCTGTCAATTCCAGTATCCCCAAAGCCTGTTGTGTTCCCACTGAACTGAGCGCCATCTCCATGCTGTACCTGGATGAGTATGACAAGGTAGTGCTGAAAAATTATCAGGAGATGGTAGTAGAGGGATGCGGGTGCCGCTGAGAACAGGCAGGCCTTGGGGGCACACACCCACACACACACACACACACACTCACACACTCACACACTCCCAGCCACTCTCCCACACAACACACAGACTGCTTCCTTACAGCTGGACTTTTATCTTAAAAAAAAAAAAAAAAAGGAAAAAAAACCTAAACATTCACCTTGACCTTATTTATGACTTTACGTGCAAATGTTTTGACCATATTGATCATATATTTTGACAAAATATATTTATAACTACGTATTAAAAGAAAAAATAAAATGAGTCATTATTTTAAAGGTAAATGATGTTCTCTTTCTCTTTAATCTTTTCTCTATTCCTTCTGCCCCATCTCTTTGGAACGTGATTCTTTTCCTGTTGAGGTGGGGCTGGGGGCAGGACAGAAGTCAGAGGGTGGTAACTGGAGGTGATTAAGTTGGAGGCACAGGAAGTAAACTGATGGTAGAAAGATGATAATTGCCAGGATGAAGTGTTTTCCATTTCTATTTAGTGTTAACGAGGATGCAGGGCCCTCCCCCATCTGGATGGCGCATGCCTTGGAGAAACAGTGGGGTGAAAGAAGTAGGACAGATTAAAGACTCAGGTTGGGGCTCCTTGTACATCTTCTGTTTTCGTTCACCTGTTAGAGGTTTGTCTCAGCTGACTGTGACAGAGCAGAATCTCAACTCTAGGGAAATGATTCCCACCTCTGCACCACATTTCCATTATTATAGACACCAAGGTTACATTTTCAAACCCAACCTAATTTGCACACTCACATATTAACATATGTGTACGTGAGTGTTTTCTTTCAACAGGAGTTTTTTTCTTGTTTTTGTTTTAGAAGTGGGTTTTTTCCAGTAAAACTTAATGTGCCTTCAAAGTTTGGTGACCACTATTTTAATAGACTCTGGTGGAATTCTCCAGTTTTGCTTGACTCTTTTGCCTTGTCTCCTATTCCCCACATGAAAGCCTTCATCAAGTTCAACATTCCAACAGACTGGGCTAGGTGGGGGGTGGCAAGGGGATCAGATACTGAAGGGTCAGAATTTCTAAGCAGGCACTAGAAAAGTCTTCCACTATGTAGAATGTCTCGAGTCAAATGCCAACTCTCCTTGCCTCTCTGTGCTGCACCCCACTTCTCTGGAGCTGGGCAGAAAGTGATGTACTTGGTGGAGGTGATGTTCTGAGCCAGAGTTTCTTCAAGGAGAAAGCTTAGTTTTTGCCCAAACTGAAAAAGGAAAACGCTAATATGCTTGAGCAGCCTCTCTGAGTTAGGGCTGCCAGCAAGGCAGAGAAATGGCTTTTTGGAATGACACGGATATAGGGGCAAAGAGGACCAGAGGAGAGACCTTTGTTTTTCCTTATTTGCCACATGCAACTAAATGACGCCCTGGAATTTTAGCCTGCTCATTTCTTCTATGTGCATTTTTTTCTGCATAGGCTTGGATGGGCTTGGGGCAAAAGCAGTGTCTTTGTATAGTCTGTGTGAGGTGGGCTGACAGGAGTGCACTAGACATGAGTGGTGGTGGTGTGCGCACCCCCTGCATTCATGTACACACACTCTTCCATGTGCTCTTGGGTGTGGGGTGGGTTCACAGTTTTGTTTTTAATTACTGAAGTCCTACAATCCTCCAAAAGGAGCAGCTTAGTGGAAACCAATAAAAATAGAAGTGGAGTGGCTGCCAACGCCCCAGCTCCCTGGAGAGCACAGGTGGAGAGAGGCGATCAGAGCCCCAGGCAAAGGCAGCGAGACTCCAGGGTTCCTCCAAAACCCTCTGCAAAGAGGGACAACCCCCCTCCTCCAGCCCCCCCAGGTCGCAGGCCCTTTGATTAATGGTATGGAGGTTGAATACATCATTTAGGAGAACCCCTGAGGTTCCCCTCAGGCGTCCTGGCTTTGTTTTGCCCGATTTCCAGCAACTTTCTGAAATGTCCTTGTCATTGAAAAGGAACTCGCAGATATCCAGCACTTGGACAAATTGTCCGAGGGGGAGTCCTGAGCCCAGTGGCTGCCCGCTCAGGTCACTTTCTAGCAACTACCCTTCCCCCAACCGCCTCCTCCTCCTACTGGCTTATTTTCAGGAATGGATAATGTTGTTTATTTGTTCAGCCAAATATTTGGTCTGGGGAATTTGCCGTGAAATTCTGTGAATTGCATATACCTAGTTAACAAAATAGTCTTAATGCCACAAACGTTAGCATGAAAAACAACGAGCTATGACCAGCTTTAACTCTTTAAATTCTGTTTGAGGGCAGAGTCCCGAGGCCCAGGAAGATAAGGAATTGAGTGTGTGTGGAAATCATTTAATTTAGGTTTCAGTATTTTATATTTTGGATTGATGCTCGACCCAGTGCCCTGTGAGTGTTGTGGGGTGGTTCTCCACCTTGCGTTTGGATCCAGCCTGCCATTTCCTCCCCTTCACATCTCTTTTTCCCAGAGTAATGTTCTCATGACTTAAAGGAGGGGAGGGAGAATCGCTCTTGAGGCGTCCAGCGAAGTCGTAACCACATCAGAGGCTGCTCCATCGATCCCTGCCCAACCCGTAAACGAACTGGCTTCCTAGGAGCTTAAGGAAAAAAGTGGGGGATGGGCCCGAAACGCATCACACATTCCCGGCTTTCGTTGCATAATTCGCTCAGAACCTGCCAGGTGACCTGCTGACTTTGTTTTCCGTCTTGCCCGGGCCTCATTCCTCCACCCTTTGCCGCCGGGCAGCCTACACCGAGAGAGGGCAGGGGAGCCGCGGCGCGGCGGACCCCAAGAATCCCGGCCTCGGACGCCGGTCCAGCCCGGCCCGCAGGCCCCGCCCGCCTGCGCCCGAGCTCCAGCCCCGGGCCGCGGGCACCAGGGGGCGTCCTCCCCGTCGGGACTGGACGGTGCACCTGCGGCCGCGCCCGAGCGCACCGCGGGCGGCTCCCCCGGCCCCTCCCGGTCCACAGGGGAGACTTCAGCGCCCCCGCCCTGGGCTGACCGCCCCCCTCGCTCCTCCGCCCTCGGGGAGCCGGCGCTCCGGAGACGCCCTGCAAAGACGGATCCGATCAACGCGCGCCGATCCTAAGGGCGGGTGCTCGGCGCATTTGGCGAGAGATGGGGTCCAGCGGCTGAGCAGTCTGGGGAGAAAGCTCACCCGGGGGCGGGCCGTACAAGGGGTCGAGAGCTTTAGGAGTTTCCCGTGGGGGGGGCGGAGAGCAGGAATTAGGGAGCGAGGCTCTCCTTGCACCCGGGTCACAGTGGGTCCCCATCTTGGAGCGACTGAATGGGGGCGTGGACGAGGAGGGAACAGACCCAGGCCGAGGGTCGGACGCACGGACCCGTCCACCAGCCGCCCGCTCGGCCTCCTGGGGCCGCGCAGAACCCGGGGCTGCGCTGCTGCCACGCGCTCCCCGGCCCGCACCTGACGGCGGTGGCCGGAGAAGAGACGAGGCCGGCGTGCGGGCGTGGAGCGGGCGGGTCGCCTTCGGAAACGTGCAGCCAGGCCCGGGTGTTAGACGGCGCTTCGGCTGAGCGCCTCTGGGCCTCTGGCCCGGGACTCACAGGGCCCGCACCCTCGCCGCCACCCACAGGCCAGAGCTCCGAATGGTGACCCCTCAGGTGAATGGAGGAGAACAAAGCTTGAGGCCCAAGTCTCCAAGCTGTCGTCAGTTATACTTTTGCTTCAACACGGAGCGAATGGTACATACACACACAGTCTCTATTTAAAGTGAGAAGAATAAAGCAAGAGCAACGTTGGTGACCTTGCAGTCCCCGAGAACCAGAAGGTTGCTGGTACGCCCTCGAGGAGTTGAGGGTGACAGTGCGCTGTCCCATTAGAACCGATGCAGAGGCATCAGCGTCCCGGTTGAGACAGGCTAACACAACTCTGAAAACTTAACTGGTGACAAGCTCGGAGTGGTGAGAAATGTGGCCCTGGTGGGATTGCAAGGGTCCCGCGTCCCCATGCTTTCCACACACAGAGCAGAATAAAGAAACCGCTCAAAACGGCAGTGGCCACCAGTGAAGAAAAGCGGCTGGTTTCAGGAAGAATTTTGGATTGCTCTAATATTAAAAAAAGAAAACACCACTGGAAACTTTGAAAAGTAAATAAAAAAGGCGAGCCACATTTAGTCAATTCTAGAAAAAGAAATTAAAATATTTTCTCACTGAGGAAGCCATTTGATGTTACCATCTATAAGTCATTTTACTTAAGGTATTAACTGAAGCAAGTTCCAAATGTCTCCGCTTTTTCTCTCCGAATATTCTCTAAAAACTCCGAATGAAAATATAAATGCTATGTTGTTGAGAACAAACTACTCAGAAAATATAATACTCTAGGATTCATTACTATAGAAATGTTTACTTCAAAAATGTGAAATTTGAGGAAAAGAAGACAAGATGGAACAATAATTTGCTGAGTTATGTTACTAATGAGAATTTCTGAAGTCTAGCTTTCAGTCAGCTTGGCCACATTTTTCTGAGGAAAAGACCTCACTGATCTCCCTTGGCTTTTTAAAATTTGATTTCTAACAAATATTCAAAAACAGCGACCAGGCCTCCCACCCTGAGTTCCTGAGCCCCGGCCCAAGTGCAAGGACGTCCTAGTTTTGCGTAGTCTATTTGCCATCACTTTAGCGAGATTCTCTTCCAGTTCTCTTAGCTGAAGCTCTGGCCAGCCGATAATTTTCTAAAGGATCCAAGGCACACGGAATGAGAGTGTAAGACATTGGATCCTACTGTTTACTCGTGAAATTATTTCTCTGGAGCTCTGGTCCCAGCAACAGAGCCCATCCCCCGCATAGCTACCCAGGATCCACTTGAGAAAATGTATACCTGTGTTCATGGAAGCTTTACGCTGATTTAATTTTTCGATCCTTATCATTTGGTTTTCAAAGCAGTTTGTTATTGAGGTAAGACCCAGGAATAGAAGCCAAAGATATGCACATTGTGAGAGAGGGAGAAAGAGAGAATTTCTAATTCAATTCAGCTTACCTTAGTCTATTATTGATGATTATGAAAAATAATGAGGTGCTCTTTTTCAAGGAAAATAAGTATGGTTAAGGCTATGCCCAATACCCCTTGAATTCACCCAGCATTCCAAAGTAGAAAAAGGTGTATCTTTGGAGAACTGACTTATAAATCTTAAATTGGTCCACGGGATCTGTATAACCCAAAGCGACAACTTCCCCTCCAGAAAGTTCAGACTCAAGTATTTAATGTGCAATTAAATATCTCATTCCAGTTGCTTAGATGCAACTATCTCCTTCTTCCTTCTATTGTTTCCAGCTTTTAT